TGCAAGTAAAATTCTCTTGAAAGACCGAATAAAAAGGGTAACAAGTTTGCCAAGACATTTTTATATTAGTGGAAGACACCAGGATGGCCCAATGTTCAAACGGTGATTTTCCTTTTCTAGGAAGCGTTCCTTTCGGTTGGAACACGTTCAACTCCATATTTCATAACCTATAAAAAAACACAGGGATTTTTTCCACCAACGTGGCAATGGTCACGTGCCTAGTTCAGCTGCTACAGCGGGTGTAATGAGACTTACTTCTCTTCCTCCTTGGCGCGACTCTCGGACAAACAGACGACAAGAAGTACTGCACACAGGGCCGCACCACGAGGACCGCTCACCATCTTAGCTCGCACATCCTCCGCCGAAATAACCCCGACAAAAACCGGAAACCCAAAAACACGCCGACGGAAATCGAAAAACACGCCGCGACTATTTTCTCACATGTTGCCCGAGCGAGGGACCCGTGTTATTACACAGCGGCGCGCGGCGTTGCCAGCTCTCGTCGATCCCGAAATTCGGTTCCCGAAAAGCGCGGCCAGGTCCCCGAAAAACACGTGTTTTTCGGGGAGCGGGCATCGACGACTGCCCGCCGGACCGCCGTGGGGTTTATGACTTCGGTCCGGCCCGAAAAGTGGGAGTGATTTTTTTGAATCGGCGACTTTCGGCGGGCAGTGGCAACGTTGCAGGTTGTATTTTTAGCTGTTTCGCGTCTCGGCGCTCTGCTCTGCGCCCAGAAAAAATAGCCCCGGCTTTCAGTTTCAAATTCCGGCTCGGGTGCGCTGGACCCGCTGACCGAAAGTTCTCGCTGTAAAAATTCAAAAGAATACAATATCATCCACTGCCTGGGGAAAAATTAACGATTAAAAGCACCCTAGAGAACGGAGTTTCTCTTATCAGGAAGCACCCTGTGAAATTTTTCAAGTAAATATACATCTTAAAATCAAATCCTGGATTTTTTTTTTTTTTTNTTTTTTTTTTTTTTTTTTTTTTTTTTTTTTTTTTTTTTTTTTACTTTTCCCGACAGGTATATTTGAATCATGGAGAACGAAAACACACCAACTCGGTAACTTGAAAATGCAGTTCTCATTGAAAATAGTCAATTTGTATCATTGAAGTTAGCACATCTGTCATAACTTGAACTTTTAAGGTGTCCTTAAGTACTTGTTTTTCTGCACTAAAAATATTTTTCTCAGTCCAACTTCTTCACCTACTGTGCAGTTTTGTATGTGTCTTGATTATTTTCATTTTTTCAATTTGGTGTGTTTTCGTTCTCACTGATTCATTTAATACTTTGACCAGATAAAGTGTCCAATGAAAAAATGCAAACTTTGATTTTTCAATTATTGACTTCTAAATTAATTCTACATGTATCTATACTCGTGCCGTATGGGGGACTGTTGTCACAGGTTTAGCAATCCTGCGGACCCCAGCTGGTAGCCCCTGCCTCAAAGGGGGCAGTGGAGATGGTCACCGGCCTCTGGGCGTATGAACCACCTGCTAGAATGGCAGACAGGGCTCTGAGCTGAAGTGAAAGCAACCTGTCTAGGAGAGGCAACTCCGAAATCAAACCCTGGTCCTCCAGGTTGGGGGTTAAGTCATCGGGCTAACTCCCCGGTACTTGT